ACAAAGCTTTTTTCAACTAGCTCTTGAATTTTTTCACGAACATTGGCAATGCATTTGACATGCAGTATAAAAAAATCCTCTGCATCACTTATAGTTGCCTTTTTCTTCTTCTTACCGGATGAGTCCTCGAATCTGAACGAAGGGTGCAGTGTAGAGTTCAGCAACGTAATCAATGTGCAGTCTTCCTTATCTATAAAAAACATTAGGTAATTTTTAAAAATGAAATTTAAAAAATACATACGTTATACTTAAATTATTGCTTTCTATAGCATCCTTTAGAGCTGATTTAGAGAGTTGATTTCGCAAATTTATTTGGTAATATTTACAAATCCTGTTTTTAAATTTTTCAAACTTGGACTTCAGAATATATTGCTTGGAAGGATACAACACGTCAAAGTCAATATTTATCTGTATAAAGCAATTTCAAATGATTGATATGAAAACAGATATTAAAAACATATTACCAAAGAAACTGATCTGCCGTCCAATAACTTCGGCCACTGTTTTAAAAAGTGCACGTTATTTAATTCCTTCAACTCTTTGCGTCGCAGAGGAAACGTCTTGGCCCATCTATCGCATACTGTATCCCAATTGGAGCAGTCACGTTGCCATTCTGTTTTAAGACCAGATAAAATCCTTTCGTCAAACTCTGGAGATTCGGAACATTTAGAAGACTCAACGATCGTAGCCTCAGCCGAAATAGTGCTTAGTCTTTTACGTTTGTAATAAAGGTTTACGTATTTTGAGTACAATTTTCCGGATGGGCTACCACCAACTTTTCTTTTAATGTAATAATAGTCCTGCAATTTAAGAAATGAAAATTAACTGTATATCTCTTATAATATCAAATAACAAAAATAGGATTCTCTTACCAGATATTCCTTTTCACCTGGAAAAAACTCTCCAATTTCTTTTACTATGTCCAAAAAGTGGTTTGTTCGCAATTCTATGTTGTGCTCAGCTGTGTAGCTACAAATTGCATTTATTAGTTTACAACGCTGACTTTCAGTTAGCCTGGGTGTTTTCTCGTCATCTGAACGCAATGAAATAAGTGATCGACCATCAGGACTTTCACGAAGCACTTCATCTAGCAAAAACTTTAAAATGATACAAGTATTATATGTATTATGGAATTTGTCGTCACCTGAAATGCAAAGAGATGTAACAAACATCGTCACTAAAATGGAAAAAGTTCTGACTAATTTTTTTCGTTAAACGAAGAAATCCATCATATCAATCAAAAATGAATTTTGAATTTTTTATTAGTTATGACTTTTTACATTTCAGCGTCGATGTTTGTTACGTCTTTTTGCATTTTCACTTTAAGAAAAATAAAACACCTTGTTGGTCCAATCTGAAATCGTTTTTTTAGGTCTCGAATGCTTTTGTTGTCGCCAAAGTTTTTCCCTGCACTCCGCCCGTTCGCCTACACTTTTAACAGCATCTGAGATATCCGCATCGTTTAGGTATTGCAGTCTTATGTAGGTTATGCCAGCGTCTAAAACGGAATCAATAATAACTCACTTTGTTAATAATTAAAAGTATACACACATACCAGATAGTTCCTTAAATAAATTTTCTTGGTTAAATTGAACCAGTAGCTCCTTCAGCTTCTCACACATTTTGTGCGCAGCGACGCAAATTATTTAACTGAACTTCAGATTTAAAAATCTTATTCTTAGCTTCACTCAGTGAAAGCAACGAAGTAGGCTACGGTGCGCTTCGTTGTTGTTACTGCTTTTGTTTCCCAACATCGAAGTAGGCTTTGCTTTGCTTCATTGTTGTTATTGTTTTTCTTCTCATTGCACTGCTCGCGTTGGCTGAACATTCGAGATGGCTATTAGCGATTCTACAATAGGTGCATTCTTTTGTAACCGAGCTACAAAAGAACACTCGCTTAAATTACGAAATACATGCAAAGCAACAACACAAACTCGGCTATTTATCCGAGTTCAGCCAGGTCGGTTAAAAAATACGCGACCTGAAGGGTAGTGTTGTTAAGTGAAAAATCTGTTCTATTGTGAATTGTTAATGGGAAAGTGGAGAGGGAAATTTTTGTTTCCTTATATACATGACTTATATTTTAAATAAGTATATATATTACGCAAATACCTCTCATAATTACTAATTTTCATAGGTTTTTGTATCTAAATCCAGTTAAACTAATCACGTGTTTCTCGTCAGTTACCAGCAGGGTTGTTTAAGTAGCTAAAAGGAAATTTTAACCGAGTTTAGCGTTCTTTTGTCGCTCGCTTACAAAAAAATGCACCTAATAGCGCAGTGGCAGTTTTTCGAACTATTACTGC